GGGGGGGGGAAAAAGAGGGGGGAGCCAGCAGCCGCGCTCGCTGCTCGACCAATGAGAAGGCAGCAGGAGCTCCGCCTGCGCTGATTGGCTTCAGGCAGGGTTGGGGCGGTGGTTGCGCTCAGGGGGGACAAGATGGCGTACCAGACCTTCCGGCAGGAGTACCTGCAGGTGCCGCCCGTGACGCGGGCTTATACTACGGCCTGCGTTCTTACTACCGCCGCCGTGGTGAGTGGGGCCGCCCTGAGGGCCCGGCCCGGCCGGTCCGGCTCCGCGGGGCTGTGGGGAGAGAACGGCAGCTTCTCGGGTGCGGGGCGCGGCTTACCGGAGCCGTGCCCAGGGCTGGAGAGGGGAAGGCGCTGAAAGCCGCGGAAGGGGTTATCTCAGACGCCGCCCCCGCCCTGGAGCTCTTTTCTTCAGGGCGTCCGGAACGTAGGGGACCCCAGAAAGCAGCACTGCTGGGGCCCACGCTGCCACCTCACACCTGAAACGGAGGAAAATAGAGATAAATAGTAGCGGTGTGAGGGGTTGAGGACGTTGCGGGGGCTCACTTTGGCTCGGAAGCTCAAGGGGCTGTCTGAGAGCTCGTTGGGCCCTTCTCGGCACTGAGAAGGGGAGTTAGTAATTTGGGTGCATACAGCTTTTTTTGGTGTATTGATTCTATCAAATGTTCTCTTCTTTTTCAGCAATTAGAACTAATAACACCCTTTCAGCTGTATTTCAACCCTGAACTAATATTTAAGCACTTTCAAGTAAGTGTTTTCGGAAGTATAGGAGGGTTTTAAGTACACTGTTGAGTTTGCAAGTGCTTATCTTCTCAGAATTGAGTGTTACAGATGATTGACTTTTAATTTTGAAGTTATATTTTTAAAAAGCTATAAAGCTAGAGTGCCAATTACTGTATATTAACGTGGCTCTTAAATTCATTGACTGAGAAGGAGATTTCAGTTATACTGTTACTTGCTTTTCTGTTTAGACAATAAAAATAGGCTGTCATGTTTAAAGTCCTTTTATTTCTCTTATTTCCAGGTATGGAGGTTAATCACAAACTACTTATTCTTTGGACCAGTTGGCTTTAATTTTTTATTTAACATGATCTTTTTGTATCCTTCTTCAAGCTTATTTCCTTTCCTTGAGAAGCAGAGCACCAGAGTACAGGCGTGTTGCTATATGTTTTGTAGAAGCAGAGGTTCAGTTCTGCTGCACTGTGAAGTTCCTGGGAGTTTAGCAATGCCGATGTCGCAGAAACTCCTTCATAAGCTGCCAATAATTTTGCTCTTTATTTCTGCAGTGTTAAGACTTTGTTATACAAGCCTGATCCGTCAGCTTGCTTTTGACGTACAGGAGAAAATGGAAGTAACTTTTTCCTCCTGGGTCACCCTCTCGGTGGAGGTTTCCAAAAAGAGTTAATTGATTAAGTAGTTGACACAAAGCGTACACCAAAGTTTGTGTGTAACTGAATAATTTTCCACTTGAATCTCTCTTTAAACTCATTTGCAATCAAATTTTCCTGACCTGCGACTTCAGATACCGTTACTGCCGAATGCTTGAAGAAGGCTCCTTCCGAGGTCGGACGGCAGACTTTGTATTTATGTTCCTTTTTGGAGGACTCTTAATGACCGTATCCTTTGGTTTTTTAATTATTCCAGACTGCTTTCGTGATATGTGAATGAGACCTGAAACCACGACATTACATTTATCCTATTTCTTAAGTGATGAGATGGTTTTTTGTAGGATGAAGAGTAACAGTATTTGCTGAAGGAGTTTTGAATGCTTTGTGACTTGCTGTTAAATACTGGGCTGGTCTTTTAGGCTTTTACTGCTTGGCAGGATTATGAAAGTCTCAGACAAGAGGGGACTGCTTGGGTGTGTAATCACGCTCAGGTTGTCTGAGAAATACTGGTGCTGCAGTGATTTCATGCTGAATTATACTTTAAAGAGATTATTCATGCTGCACATACCTGAACCGTGTTGTAGGTGTTGAATTTGCTTGACAGTACGTTTGATTTGCTTGAACCTGGGATAGTTAAGTTAGCAGTTGTATGGAAAACACAGGATTACGGGTTAAACTGTGACATTCTTCTCATGCGTGACCTCACAACAATTGCATGGTGAACTGCTTTCTTTAACTACCTGTCACAGCTTTTCGGCCTGTTTGTGAACTTGGTTTTCCTGGGTCAAGCATTCACAATAATGCTTGTGTACGTGTGGAGCCGCAGGAATCCCTATGTCCGTATGAACTTTTTTGGCCTCCTCATCTTTCAAGCCCCGTTTCTACCCTGGGTATTGATGGGCTTTTCACTACTTTTGGGGAACTCCATCATTGTGGATCTCCTGGGTAAGAAACTGCAAGAATCACAAGGATCGTGTTTTACACGAAACAAAAGAAGTAGAAAAACCCAAGGGCTAAATGCCTTTTGTGTAGTTTTATTTTGTCTGGTATAATGATAGTATATTTATTCCAGTTTTGGTTTTTTTATTTCTAAACACTGTGGCATATTTTGTGGTGTAACTGGGATGGAAAGATCTTCTGGTGCTTTGGCTTTTTGTTGCGTGGAATCAGCCCAAGAACATAATTTGATTGTGAGCATCAGACTATTTAAGTAAAATAGCCTGTATTACTTTTTCTATCAGCTCTCATAAAGCTCTCACATCAATATGTTCAATAATGACAAGCAGTTTTCCTGCTTGTGTTAATGTCTTTTAGTGTTAAGTTAGGCTTTTCATCTGATGTCAGCATGCTTTGTTTTTTGTGTTTCTGTATCTCTTGCCATATTTTCTGTGAAAGAATCAGTATGTGGATTGGTTTGCTTTCCTGAAAACCCTAGTAAAGCATTTGAAAGTTGTAAAGGAGAAGTATTGAAAATCACCATTTGACTTCTATTCCTATACTAGGTATTGCCGTTGGACATATATATTTTTTCTTAGAGGATGTCTTTCCCAATCAGCCTGGTGGTGGAAGGCTTCTGAGGACACCGTCTGTCCTGTAAGTATTGGTGTCTGGTTCAAAACAAATGTGCAAAAAGTATGGAAAGCTGTTTATAATTCAGTCAGATCAACTTCTGGTAAATTAGGCAGCTTGAGACAGAATGTGATGTGTCTGTGCTTGCTCTTTTGTTTAACTTGTGTTGCCAAACAAGGCAGGAGGGTCTTACACAGGTGTAAGTGGGAACTGACTTCCTGAGGAGAAGGGCTAGTGGGCTTTTGTAACCCTTGATTTCTTTGCTGGAACTCGTTAGTCTTTACTGAGTTTTGTCAGTTGGTGGCACCAAAGATGCATGTGTGTTACTGAGGTGTGAGGAATAAGAAGAGTCCTCTTGTGTATGAACAGTGACTGAGGTATTAAATATATTTAATTTTTCTCATTTGTAAGTCATCCTTGTTTCACAACTTTGACAAAAGACTTCAGCGTTTGTACTATTGAGTGGTGCTACTCCAATTCAGTTCCCCCTTGTGCAGGGGTCTGGGATCATCTGTAATCATCTGTACAGCAGCCCGGGTGAGAGCAGCTTGCCAAAATGGTAGGGCAGTTGAGACACTGAGACTTGAGCTCTGTGAAACTCTTAAAATTGTCTAGAGCTGAGCTGATTCTGCTCTTCTGTTGGAAATGGCCTCCGAAAGCCTGGGTAACTAAAATACCATGTTCAGAGCCATGTTTAGTTTTAACTTTTGGGTCATTCATGTTTGGTTGAACAAGTACACTTCTACTGATAGTTTATTTTTGTTCAGTGTAGGCTTTGTCTTCAGGCAGTAGCTGTAGCAGAGCAGTGTGCTGCTCACTTTTGCTCACTTGGCCGTAGCAGCTGAAGGCTGTTTCGGGTGAGGGCTACCTTCATATAAATGTACCTCGAGATGAACATGTGCAATAATGGTATATTTGAGATTTCCCATTTTCACAGAGGGTGTGCGCACCCAGCTGTGTGCAGGAGGAATCCTAAGGCTGTTGGAGCAAGGTGTGCTGTCTCAGTAACTCTCGTCTGCGTAAAAAGTGTCAGCCTATCTTCAGGCTGATGTTTAAATCCTTTTACAGGTCTATATCCAGAAGGCTGCTTGTGAGTCTTGTTTGGGTCTAGAATTGTGGATGTATTTTTTTCCCCAGATGCTTTACTTTGTGTAGCTGTAATCCTGTAATACCCCTGGCATTTTCTTTTTTCCTGTTCTGAAGACTTCTTTGAAATGGCCTGTCACTCTGAAGAGGGATAATCCCTTTAGCTATTGTAAGAACTGTCTTGTTCTTACTTTACTTTTCAGACATTTTTGTATATAATGATTGCTTGTATGCACCCTGTGGTTCTTTGTGTGTTTCAAAGAATCTACTACATTTTTCTTTCTGGATAAACAAATGTAGGGA